ATGTGCCATGACCCTATTTGTGTTGTCACTGATCAAGATCCAGCTGTCAAGGTTGCTGTTGCTCGTGTGTTTGGTACATCAAAACATAGATTTTGCATGTGGCATATAATGTGCAAGGTTGGTGAGAAGGTTGGTTCGGTTTTGTCTAAAGATGAGGTGTTTCGGAGGAAGTTGAATGGCATTGTTTGGAACAAATCTCTTGACTCCAAGGCTTTTGAGGATGCATGGAGTCATATTATGGAGGAATATGGTTTGGGTGATAATGGTTGGTTTCGATATTTGTTCGAGTCTCTTACATTTTGGGCATCTCCATATTTTCATGACGAGTTTATGTCGGGCTTGGTTAGGACAACTTCTCGATCAGAATCTCAAAATAGTTTTTTTGGCAGTTTCTCTAATGGTCATTCTAGTTTGGTTGAGTTTTTGGTGCATTTTGGCAGTGCTATTGGTGCACAACGTCATACTCAAGCAAAACTAAATGCTGATTGTGAATCTTGTTTTCCTGTTTTGAAGACACCATTGGCTTTGGAAAAGCATGCAATGGATGTTTACACCATTTCTGTATTTTATGATGTTCAAGTAGAGATTTGTGTAGCTTGCTTTTCGTGTCGAGTGGCATCTTTGTGCGATTGTGATGGTCATGTGTCTTATGTGATAAAAGATGGTGACCAGCGGCCATGGTGTGTGGAGCTTGTTTTGTCTGATTATACTGCTACTTGTTCTTGCAAGATGTTTGAGCGGATGGGGTTGTTGTGTAGGCATATTTTTTTTTTTTGTTTTTAAAGATCGTGGTCTTGAGAGCATTCCTTCGAGGTATTTGGTGGATCGGTGGACAAAAGGTGCTTGTTTGAAGCCAATATTTGATATTGATGATACAATTGTTAATCAATCTTCTAAAGTGGAGAATGTTAGGGTGCTTACTAATATACTGTGGTCTGACATATATGCTTGTGTTGGACTGTCCGATGGTAATATAGAACGTTTGTTACAGCTACGACGTGTTATTTGTGAGCAAAGGCAATTATTTTTACAAGACGGTAGTGAGAATGGCAGTGGGGTGGGTGGTGGCAGCTAGCAAAGCGTGATTAATTCAGTTTGTGGAGTTGTGTCGCAGGAGTCGACAGTGGAGGTGCGTGATCCTATCCAAGCTAAGAACAAGGGCAGTGGCAAGCGATTGAAGAGTGCAAGGGAGAAAGCTGCCTATAAGTGTGTAAAACAATCAAGAAAATGTCATACCTGTGATGAATATGGGCACAATAGTAGGACATGCCCTTTAAATGGTTAGATAGGTCTCTGTTTTTTGTTTTTTTTTTTTTCTTGCTTTCTTTTGGACTTAGATGTTTTTACAGTTGTGCACACATTTTATCTCATAACATAGAATCAGGATTTTGCAATATAATTGAAATTGTGCATTTTATTATAGCATGTGGTGCGTTTAACACAAGTTATAGTGTTTTCTATAATGTATACTGGTGCATTTAGACATGTTTGGGAATGGCGTGTTTTACTTTGTCATCTGGTGCATTATTGTATTTAGAATGATGTGGTCCATTTTAATTAACGGTGCGGTGCTTTTTATATCTGTTGTTGGTGCATTTGAATTCTTGAGATGGTGTCTTTCGAGGTTATCATGTAGTGGTGTGATTTAATCTAGTATCTCGCATGTATTTTAACACTTTGTTTATTGACGTGTAAGATTGCTTGTTGTGGTGCATATTAGTTCTTATAATGGTGCTTTTAAGTGGGGCATTTTTAAAGTGCAGTTCAATCACGTACATAGTGCATTCTAGCGCTCCAAATGGTGTGTTATAGTTGTTCCAAGTACATAGTGAATTCACATTGTCTGTGTGCCATCACAAAAGAGTAACTAGTTTAAAAGTAATCACAAAAATATAGACATCAACCATCCAAATGTCTATCTGCCTCCTGAATTTCTTTTCAAATACCAAACTCTGCTGCCTCCTGAATGTTCCTTTCTCTGTGCTCGTTTACATCTGACATGACCATGGCAGCCAAGTACCTCACTCTTAGTTTGTTCAATTGGTCCTTGTTGTTCTTATGCAATCCACATTGCCATTCTCCTTGTGTCTGTCCTCGAAAAGTCTCCAAATGGCGCATGAGAAAAATGCCACAATCCACCTTGTTCTGGGCATCTCTCCAAGGCATTTTCATTATTTTAGATTTTAGTTTCTGCACTTTCTCAGCTTTGTACGTGGATTTCATATCAAACAAGAACTTTTAAAAGAATTTTTGCTGCATCAAGTAATTGCATACAAATATTAGTATTCTGTTGTCTTTGTATATAAAAAATACATAATCATTTAGGGTTTCGTGTGTTACCAGATTCGCAATCACATATCCATACTTGTTTTCCTTCTTCACAGTCACTGAAGAGTTGTCAATGATGTCGTACCTTTCCATTAGCGGGCTAATAGACATCAGGTAGTAGTTGTTGGATACCACTATTGGAAACAGAAACTGTCATAGCAACAAATACTTAATTTAGTGTGGGTAGCATGGAACACACCAACATGAGTTACAATATGCACCAAAGTATGGATAGTAATACACCATACACGAGTAACTACTAGAATGCACCAACCAATGTTTAAAGACAAAATTCAAGTAGTAAGGAAAATATAAAGCAGTGAATATAATATATTACTATCTTACATATAGAATCTTGTGCCACATAACGTCTACTGCAATGGCCTTGTCCTCAAGGTACTTTGCTTTGAATCTTCCAAATCTCATATCCTCATCTCCTTGTGGGTCCACAACTGTGTACAGCTGCAAAAGTTCAATGGTATTTTTGTTAGAAGTTTAAGCTTTTTAAAGATGAAGTTAGTTTTGCATTTTTTCACTTACAGTTGACCATGTTGAAGCATTGAATTTTGTACAACCCCTCTCTGATTCGCGAATGTTGATTATGACTGACCAAGCATCAATTATAGAGACTGCAATATTTGTATCTGGCTTCATTGTCAGCATATCTTTCCAGTAGATTACTCTTCCTTCATACTTGAATAGTTCTTGGGTCCTTGTAATACGTATACAGAAGATAATATAAATAAAATGCAGGAATAATGTATATTATAAGTACCAAAGCTAGTAATATTCCAGCATAATCAATAAATACATCAAAGTGATATTAGTTACACACCACAATCAGTTAACAAATCATTTGATGTGAACAACCCAATACATACCAAAATATGCACTATTAACATGTGCATAACACACTACCACTTTTATACTAATAGCCCCCCCCCCCCCCCACTCAATGTGTGAAAGCACACATCATATCATATAAACACACCAACTCTTATCAAATAATGCATCAGTTAATATAAGATATTTATACACCAACATTATTATAGAATGCACCAACTATATTAATAACACACCAACTTTTAGAATGTGTTGTGCTTACAGATTTGGGTTTGGATTTTCCAATACCCATTTCCTGATTGATTCTTCTGTTGGAGATAATGGTTGGTCCAGATCAAGTACGTATGAGGACGGTCTTGGTCTAATTGGGCTGTTTACTCTAGCTGGTCCTTTCCCCTTGTCTGCTGGTTGTGGTGGGTGTGGTGGATCTGAACCAGGGGCCTCCTGGCCTTGGCCTACTGGTGTGATCTGTAACATTTAAAGTTTAGTGTCTAATTTTTATTTTTAACTTTATTTTTACCTTTTTTGTGTTGTCAAGTTAATAGAATGCTCTTACCTCATCATTTATGTTCACATGTTCAGGTTCTTGCACACCTTCTTGATTGGGGGCCTTGTTTATGTTCTTGGTGTCTTCTTGAGCTTTCTTTGTTGCTTGACCATCTAGCCCATCCAATTGGACGTCTTCATTTTCTGGAGCTTCATCTATGTCCTGGTAGTCTTGTGCATTATCATTCACAGTTGTCGAGTCTCTAGTTGGTCCCTCTTGTGACAATCCCAGGCTAAAAGTTGGCATATGATTTAGAAAAGTCCTCTTGTTTACTGCACGAACAATTTCATCAACCGCTTTCAAGAACTCAGGGTCACCCAATAGGCATCTTCTTGCTGGGTAAATGTCAGTTGTCCATCTTCCTGCGCTTTGAATCCAAGCATCTGTCTAGCAGATTCAAACATCTGCTTGAATGTGTCATGCTGCAATACTGTTGCAGGTGCATTTTCAATCAGCCTTGAAATTCTCAGTAAAGTTTTTGCAATTGTCCTTGTGTTGGTAGTAACCTCATCAATAAACTCCTGTATATGCACCAGAAAGTTATGCTCAGTCAACGATAAGTAAAACACCAGCCAAAAAAAAAAAAAAAACACTCAATAGAGTGCCACACACCAATGAAGGACTATAGTATAAACACACCAATATATACAGAAGTATGCACAATAAAATACCCCATGAGTCTGTCTAAAGTGTTCTGTTTACCTGTAATCCATGGGGAAGTGGTGCGTTTTCTTCATATGATGGTGGTTGTGGTGGTACATCAGACTGTCCTATGCTGGGGTTCCGGTCACTGCATGGTGTGCTCTCAAATGGCAAAGCATCATCAACCCGCCCATATCCAAAGCCTCCAGATTTGATCTCAGTTTGCTGTCGTTGACGAAGCAACTTAAATGTCCAATTCTTCATGGCAGGGAAGCTTCGTAGGATAGTCCTCCGGTATAGAACAACACGGTCAACATAGAATACCTGCACTTGGTAGTTTAGAATATTAATATATTGATGAGTAAATAATTACAAGCATGTTTGGGGGCTTATTTACCATTAGGAAAACAATTGGGCCTCCATATCTTCCATCAGCGCTGTCAAGCCATGCCTGCTTGCTGGCGATGAGTGAGTTGATGAGCATTCTACACCAATTTAGTCTCTTGATGTTGCGTACATTAAGAAGGTTGTCGATGTAGTTTTGGTTGACATAACCATTAACTTGTGGCTCAACCAACACACTCATAACAAGCAGTGCAAAATGCCTTTTGAACCAAGGGTCACCAGCTTTTAATGTTAG